ATCCGGCACTGGGTCTGTGAGCCCTCACCCACCTCCCGGTGTCACTGCACGGTCCCTGCAAACTTTTGCCGTGCTCCTTTTCTCTTTGCACGGGGAGGTCATGTAACGCTCTGGCTCTGAAGCAAGAGCGGGCAGCGGCTGTGGTTTGGCTGGCGCCCTCCATCCCATGGCACCCGACCACAGGTGGTGCCAGAGTCCCCACACCACACAGCTCTGGGCTCCTGCCCTGGGTCCCCAAAGCCTTCATGGTGTGGTGGACCTGCTGAGCACTCGCCACCTCTCAGCAAAGCTGGGGAGGTCGAGCACCTCCTCCTCTTTTGGGATTCAGTCAGGTTGGGCGAGGGGTGCAAGGTTGAGCCTGTGTCCGTGCAGGGCACCTGCAGCTTTGGTTTCTGGAAGTTCTGCCCCTCACCTGTTGTTTCAGAGCCAGGTAAAAGGTCCTTTTCTCCCTATAGCTCATAGCGAAGGAGGAAACCAGGAATTTGCTGGATTGGTCATCAAATTCAGACACCCTTTTTTGAAAAGCCACTTGAGGCTTGAGTGTGTGGTAACGGTCCAGTTTGCAGCAGAGCTGAGCTGGTCTAGGAGTCCAGAGGGTTTGCTTGCTCCGATTCCTGTCCCAAGGGGACTTGCTTTGCAAAGCCAGCATTTTACTGTGCATCCTCCCTATGGATCCCCACCACGTTTTTTTCTTCTTTCTTGAATTTTTTTTTTTTTTTTAAACATTAAAAAAAGACTAAGGAAATCTCGCTGCTGTGGGACTACTTAGTAGGACATATAGAGCTCTCTATACTTAACAAAATGTGCACCCAGTGAGTCATTATTCCTTGAGTCCACAGCTCTGAGTATTCATCGCACAGATGAGGGACTCGCGTGAAATCAGGCTTTCCATACACACAGCACATGACCGGGGAGATCATCTACCGAGCATGCGTCCTCATTGAATAAGCGTTTCTCCTCCGCTCTGGTGTGCGCACACACCACTCACGGAGACAGGATAGCCACCTCATAAAAAAAAAAAAAAAGAAAGAAAGAAAGGAAAAGAAAGTTGCTGTATGAAAGCAAACTGAAATGGTGTGCATGCATAATATTCGTTGCATAAAGCCTTAGAATAGCTTTGTCGCGATACCTAAGCTGGCCCCCAGGAAACAAGGTCTGTGGGGTTTTTTCCAAATTTTTGCAGACAGGCAATACTGAGTGATTTGGAGCTTCTAGAATGGAAAAACCATGAGCAATGGTAATTATGAATAGGATTTTAAAAAGCAACCTGCATTCTGGAAGCAGTGGCTGCTTTTGAAAATCCCACCTTCTGTTTTGTAGTATATGAGCAAGGAAAAGATCAGAGCTATGAATCAGCTGTAAGTTTAACTCAGCAAATTGGAGAAGCTTTGCAAAGTACCAGGGACCCAGACAACATCTGGTTCAAAAGCCAAATTCAGTCAAGCTCCCCAAAGAAAATGCAGCAAAATCATTGTGATGAAGCCTTAGCTGAGCACCAACATTTACACCAGAGACATATCATTTAAAATCCTCCATCCTTTAGGCTGGATTAGCAGAGATTGAAAGGGTCTAGAGAAGGGAAAGGAGGTTCGCTGGCATTAGCACGGGATATGGGTAGAACAAGCACTGGCAAAAATAAAGCTGATTTATCTTAGAAAGAAGAATTAGAGGTGATTTTTCTTGCATATTCCTCATAGAGCAGAGGTTGTCTAAACTCTTCCCCCTATCCTGTAAGTCATCATTTGAAAGAGGGGGTTTGGGACCAAGCCAAAATCAAGAGCCAGCACAGGGAATGGGTTTCCATCGTCAGAGTGCGGGAACAGTTATGACTTGAGAGTCAAATTGGAGGAGGGCTGGATAATTTTGTGGTCATTAGTGATATCAGCGGGAACGCAAACTGCAGCGATGACAGCTAATCAACCCTCCTATTCTCCGTTGTGAAATTGTGATTTTCAGGGGGCTGCTGGTAGTAGCAGCATCCCCAGGATGCAGGGATGGATTGCTCATTCTCTGAAGTGCTGTGGGATCGAAGACACTGGGTATATTTAATGCCAAGGGCTACCAGCTGAGGCACATAGGAATTTGAAGCTTGGGGTTATTTTTCCAGACTCTATGATTGCCAGTCCTGCTTTTCTCCTCCTTTCCATCCCCAGCCAAGACCGGTTGTGCACAAAATGCACCAGAGACTGATCTGAATGTTGAGGATGAGCAGGGAGCGAGGGGAGGTCGCAGCTGCAGGGCCCTGTGTGGGTACACAGCTGTGGGAAAGGGGGTCATTCACCGGCAGGAGGGGCAGCTGGCCTGGTGGCTCTCGGGGGCAGCTGTTTTGGGGTAAGAGAAATGCTTTTTAAGTGGAACTGACTTTTTGTTTAAAAAATGCAGTTTCAGCTTGGAGTTGGGTCCAACTGGAAGTCCGGGAACCCCAAGATGGCAAGTGCATGACCCTTGAGAGTGGTTGCATTTATACGAGCATGTAATTGTATGTGCTTATCAGTGTACATGCAGGCAGTGTTGCATTTAAGAGGGTGTGAGATCAGCCCGGAATAAAAGCACCAATCCCTTCTGTCAAGAGTGAGGGACGAGACTGCATGAAGCCTTGCAGCCACCAGGAAAGCGAGGGGAGCACAGGGGTCATTTTCAGCCAGTGACAGTCAGTGCAGCCCTGGAAGGAGGAGGCGGGTTGGCAGAGCCTTCAACTGATTTCCCTTGTTCTGTTTGCATGCGAAAGCTGAGGGACAGTGACCTCTGGATAAGGCATGTATTTGCTGTGAAAGAAACCATGGCACAGTGAGCTCTTCTCTTCTTTTCCTACAAAATGCTCCAAGAACTTGTAAGACATTTGCCTTAGGAGAGACGTAGGATATGCTGCCCGGTTGCTCCAGCAGCCAGCACCTCTCAGGGTAGGCTCATGAAGCCATCCCTTCGGCAGCTGATGAACCCGCATCACCTAGGGTTCCGTCTGATGTGAATTATATCGGAGCTGCAGGTTGCAGGGTGTCCCCACGGCCCGTGTGGCCAGTGGGCGTCTGCCCGGCAGGCGGGTGTTGCCAGCAGGGAGGCAGCAGCATGGTGCCTGTGGGGTGGGTGTGCTTGTGCGTCTGCTTTTGCACATGTGTGTGTGTGTATGTGTGGTGGGTAGCAGGGTGAGGGATGCCTGCTTCTCTGCTGGCCATCAGACCTCATTGCCCACACGCTGAGCCGTGAGCCACCATGCTGGCGGCTCCTGAGCCCCTCGCTGGTTCGCCAGGGGATCTGAGCTATTTTTGTGTAACTTCACTTTGCACAGTGTGGCCTGCCATCATGCCTTTGGGTTAAACAGAAAATTGGCCAGTTTCACTTGCAGGAGTGGGGCTTTAGCCTTTCTCAAGGGCCACGTTGATCTTGTTCAGTGAGTGAGAAAACTTTGACTCTCTAATGTCCCCATTCAACTCTTTACCTTCCTCCACTGTTGCTTCTCTGTTCCCTTCTCCCCTTTATGACACTTACTATTTTTCCATCCACAGCAAAACAGTTCACATCAAGGTAATTGATGATGAGGAGTATGAAAAAAACAAGAATTTCTTCATTGAGCTGATGAGCCCCCGCATGGTGGATATGAGTTTACAGAAAGGTGTAGTACTGGCCCTCCAGACTAACATTAACATTCTTCTTTCCTCTTCTCTTCCGTCTCCTTCCTCCTCTTCTCCTCCTCTTCCTCTGATATCTCTCTGTCTCCAACTGCTCTGCCCTAAACACTGCTGTGCGCACACCGTGTCACATGGTACCCACGGGGGGAGCGACCCTGGGGCCAGGGAGAGGCAAAGTGGCGAGGGGGGCAGAGAGAGAAGGATGGAGAGTGGTCCTGCTTGTCCCTATTTCTGCAGCAGCTTGAGAGGGACCTTCTGCCATCCCCACTGGAGGGTCCAAGCAAATTTTGTAGCATCAGTGGGAAGATGCTGGCTAGAAACACATCCAGCATATCAGGAGATCATCACCCGGCCCTGGTCCTACAGGGTGTCCTGGTCAGACCCATGTTAAATAAAGACAGGAATTGAGGCCTGGCAGAGAAGCAGCTCCTGTCATTTCTGAGAAGAACTTGGCAAAGGCTGTGTAGCCCCTGGTCTGGTTGCTGCGGAGCGGCTCTGGGAGCAGGAGATGAGGGCAGGGAGGAGCTGATGCCCCGCTTTGGTTCACCTGAGGGCTCACAGCAGCTGTGTGCATTGCAGAGGTGCTGGAGGGAGCCAGGCGAGCTGGCAGCAGGGAGAAGGGGCCAGCCCCACTCCAGTGCCCAGGGTATTTCCATGTGAGCCTCGGAGGCATTTTAGTCCCATTGTGTCCCTTGCAAGGTCCCAGCAAAGCTATCTGCTCCCAGGGAAAGCTGCATCCTCGCTCGGGGAACAGGTCAGGGGGAAGAGGCAGACGCTATTGAGGAGAAAAAGCAATAAGATGTGCCATTTTAAAAATGGAAATTAGAAATATCCGCCTCCTTCACAGCTAATAGAGCTGCAGCCTGCCAGCAGAAACCCACCTCACCCCACTGGGGAACGCATCTGTGGGTGCCCATCTCTCTCTTCTCCTCAGGATCCCAGCCCAGAGTCCCTGCAGATTTGTTATTAATTGTGAGGGTAGCAGAAGCAATTGATCTTCCAGCTAAAATGCAGTGGGTACCCCAGGGTTGTCCCTGGTGATTTCCAGGCAGCCAATACCCTTTCCATTACCATGTGACACTGAAAAAAATGTGCTGCAGGAGTCGCCTCCCACTAACCATCAGCAAGGTCCAACCCCCTCTCTCCTTGCCTCCTCACCCCCTCGCCAGCCCCCTCTCTCCCTAACACCCTCCCGCTCCCCAAGGAGCAGCTGCGACGGATGCCCCGTGTCCAACAGGCAGGCCGACGCGCACCGCCCCGCCGGGGAAGGGGCTGCGTGCCAGGAGCCCGCGCTGCCGCCGCTGCTGCTGCCGCCGCCTCGCCTCTGGCTGGCCGACCCGCTATACACGGTTGTCTCTCTTGTTGTCCCTACAGGAAGACCGTAAGGGTTAAGATAGTAGATGAGGAGGAATACGAAAGGCAGGAGAATTTCTTCATTGCCCTTGGTGAACCGAAATGGATGGAACGAGGAATATCAGGTGTGAGATCCTTTACGAAAAAAATGAAAAAAGAAAAAAATCAGAATCAAGTTTCCAAACCCCAAATCCGGAAGATAAAACCCTCTTTCTCCTCCTTCCCCTCCCTCCTTTTCTCCTCCTCCTGTAGATGGATCGACTTCTATTCTCTGCCCTCCTGTATTCTCGCTCTCACCCTGTTTCGGTGTCATCTCTGCCTTTTAGAGCCCAGCTTACTTCTGATCCTCCTTTTGTGCAATGCTTGAGCCTTGGAGGCTGTATTATTTTGATGGGGTTTCCTTGTCTTGATCTGTTTTTTTTTCTGAGCACACCTTTGCTGTTCTCCCCTCTCCTGCTCCTTTGCCAGGACCTTGGGGAATGTGAAAGGCAAGAGAAGGGCGTAATGCATGGCTGCCCCTTCAGCTCCTCCCGTACACCCCCCTGTCCTTCCCTCTGTTGTTGCCTGCCAGCGGCATTGCCTTGGTGCTCTTGGGTCCCTCCCTATGAGGCGTGCTGAAAAGCCCATAGGAGAAGAGGGAAGGTGTAAGGTCTCTCATTTTGCTTTTATCTTTAAAAATGATTTTCCATGTATTTCATCTGAAAACGGCCTTGATGTATCACAAACAATCACAGCCTGTTGTGCAGAGGGTGTGGAGCTCTGCTGATGTCCTGCTTCATCAGCAGTGAGACCCAGGATCTCCCAGCAGAGCAGGATTATAGTGGGAATAAACCCTGATTTATGGTCGCGCCTTGCCTAGATGTATCTTTGTCCTTGTCCTATATGTGTTTGACCCCTTTGTCACTGACCAAGTCTTGCCATTGGCTTCACCAGCTTTGGGGTGGCCCAGGAGGGCCAAGCTTTAAACAGAAGCACTTTACAAAAGGGAATTCAAATCCACCTTCTAGGTGTCTGATACGGAGTAGAGACAGACGTGTGCCCACAGGCTTATTTCTGCTCCCATGTGCTGCTGCAGGTGATGGGAACACCTGGCAGTTCCCCATGCATTGGACAGGTTTCCCTTGCTGAAACGTCTCCTGTCTCTTATCTGGCCAGCACAGCGGCTGCCCTCTGGCCAGGCCGAGCTCCCGTGCACGGCTCTGCAGGACATTCGGGATAGACACAGCTTGCATAAGCATGACAATGTCATATAGCATCCGTGGATTTGTAAAATGTAAACCCGAAGAGGATTCATAGTTTAATGCTGTTAGACCATCTTCTGCAGCCTGAAAGCAATGAGGGACATTAGTTTTCCCTGTGTGTCGAGCACAGGCCCGCAGGTTTCATCAAAGTCCAACTGCCCTTGAGTGGAAGCAGTGACCAACCTGCCATATCCCATGGCGGTATCTCCCAGCAATTAATTACCCTCCAGGGTAAAGATATGAGTATGATTTCTAGTAGAAGTTGTCTGGCCTCAGCTTGTAGCCACTAGTTATTTTCCTACTTTTCTCCATCAGATAAAAGAACTATATAGTGTGCCATAGCTTCCGTGTAGGTATCTGCTCACTATAGCTGTATTACACTCAGTTTTCTTCTTGAAAGTTTAAGGAGATTAAGCCCTTTGAATCTGTGTCAGCAAAGTCTTCAGCCCTAGAATCACTGCCCCTTCCCATCCACAGGGCTCCCACCTCCATCTCAGCAGGTACAGCAGGAAAATCGCCTGCCTCTGGCTCTCTCCCGCTTACGCACTCGGCAGCCTGGAGCATCACACTGAAGTTTCTGCGCAGTTGGCTGCTCTCTGTGAGCCCTGCGTCCTTTTCTAAACCAGCGAGCTTCAGGATACAGAGTCAGGATTGGGCTGGTTTTTGTGAAGTCCTGCATTTCTTTTTCCCGTATAGGCCACGTTGCATCTGGCTGAATAAAAACATGTATTTGAAAAAAATCCAAATAGCCCTTAAGGTGGTCCAGTTGTAAAATGTCCTCGTTATTATTAGGACCATGACACCAGTTTGCCATATTGTGGGTGTCTCATTTACAGCAGCATCAGTTGGAGTCAGTGGAACTGTCTGATTTGCAGCAGGCAGAGAGGAGATCAGAGCCGGACTAAATGATCTGCAACACAGAGCCTGCAGGCCAGCCGCTTCCCTCGCCACAGGTAAGGAGGCACCTTCTTTACCCGGAGGAAGCAAAGGACCGTGCCGAGGAGGAGATGCAGAGCCCTGGTTGGCCTCATCAGAGAAAAGTCAGAGTGAGAGCACTGTGGTTTTAAAACCTAAGAGGCGGGAGATTAAAATGCATTTGTAAACGTTGCTGGCACAAGGTGGCACAGTTGCTACACTAATTCCAGGGCATCTGGAAAGATCCCCAGCTCTATAGTGCTGCACGCGGTGGCATCTCCAACGAGCGTACCTTATGCCTGGGATGAAGAATAAGGAGCTACGCGAGGCTTTCCCATGCGGAGCATCGGGACTGATAGACAGCAGGTGCTGTCGCCAGCAGGGTCATGGGGTGCAGGCATGAGCAGCTCCCAGCGGAGAGGAGGCAGCCCAGGATGCGTGTGGACTCGCACACGCTTGGGGAGGTGTGCAACCTGCCGTACAGCATCGGGAAGGGACGCTCACGCTGACTCCCACACACACGTTCCTGCTGTCATCACGCCGTTGCAGGGGCAGCGTTTGGATGGTTTATTTATTGCAAAGCACACTCACAACCGATACAGCCCCGCGGGCTGCAAGGACAGCACAGCCGCCTAGGTGCAAACGGGGCCCTGCAGTGCTGCTTGGATGCTGCCATTGTCCCGCACCCGCAGACGGGGGGAAAATCCCAAACTGCAGTCGCCTAGCTGGGACTTCACTGGGTCTTGTTGCGGTGATGAAAGGGCCCCCACGTGACTCACATGGCGAGGGCAAAGCAGAGCTCCTGCCTCTCCTGGAGGGTCAGGCTGGGTTGCTTTTGATGAAGAGTCTCTCTGGGTTTTGGCTACCCGCGCATTTGTTTCCAGCACCACAAAAGATGTGGTCTTCTTGACGGTGTGTCCTCATTTTATTGTTACTCACCACTTAGCTCTGTCACACTGAGCCAGTGCCTAGGGTGCTGTAGGAGTATTTTATGTTCTCAGATGGCTCTTCGTAATGTCTTCAGAACATCTTTTCTGGCCCCATTGGGAGCAGGGCAGTGTTGGGTGCCTCAGCTGACTGGCAGTCGTGTTTGGAAGTAATCTGCGATCCAGGTTGCACAGAGACAGCCCGTCTATCACAGTTGTGCCTCCACTATCACAGCTTTGTGCCGAGGGCCTGCACTCACACCAGGACCTCACCTTAAGGACACAAGCTAGGTAGCAGTGATGAAATCAGTGATGAAATGTGGTGCCCTGAAGGGCAGACAGAGCTGACGGCAGGTGATCAGGGGAATAGATGTGTGCTGCTCAGTCCAGCCTGGGGCAGAGTTTGGATAGTTTATTTTGGATGCAGAACTTGGTCTGGAGCCCCACGCTGTTAAAATCCCCTGTGCTGTCCCTGAGGGTATCCACACTGCTGCTGGCTGTGGTGGCATCGGTTTCTTATAGACACACAGCGAAAGAGGACAGCAGGCGGGAGCAGGGTTCGCTACCATACGGTTGATTTGCATTACTGGCTGCACTGTCCCATACATGTGCCGGTACAAAGCAGTTGCCACCAGTCAAGGGAACGTCTGCTTGCCCTGACCGGAGCTGTGGGGTAGGGGGGGAATGACCTCGTCTTGGGCTGCACAGTTGGGTGAGGCTGTGTATCTCCAGGAGGGTCCCTGTGAGGGCCAGAGCTCAGCAGGACATTCATCCTCTTGCTCTTGCTGTTTGCACCTGCAAGCGCCTTACCGGGGAAAATACATCTCTACTCAGGAAGGTACCTGTGGTCATGCAAATGCAAATGCCTGTCTTCAGGTTGCTTAGGGCTTGCGCAACGCAAAACAGCCACTGAAACAGCCTTTTGATGCATTTTGCATCCTCTGCAGATGCTGCTCCTCACTTTTAACCCCAAATTATATCAGTGCCGTGCTGCTTTGAGCCTTGGGCACCCAGCTGTTAACGCTTGCCATAAGGAGAGCTGACCACCTCCTCCTGTTCTTTACAGACCCCCTATATAAAAGTTACATCTACAATACCAAACTTTGTCTTGCAGCCTCTTTATTCTTTTTCACCAATTGCTTTCTGCAGCTGGAGTTTTTCAAAGCCTTTCTGATCATCCAAACAAATCACATCAAGTAGTTTTACTTTAGCAGCTCTTTTTGTTGATGTGCTCCAATAATTCAAAGAGATGAGAATAGATCTGAGATGGGTATCTTGCCAGCCCGGTCTGTGATGAAGACCGATACTGACTCAGTAGTGGCATATCAGATGCAAAGAACACGAGCAAAGATGGCGCTTGCCGCAAGCTGGTTGTATCGAAGTGAACGAATAAAAAGAAATCAAAGAGAGACTCTTATTCTTTGCTCGGCAAAGATGGTAAATGTTGCTTTTCTCTATCCTCCTGGACATTCCGAGGTTTCCTGATTTTTTGGTCTTCTCCATTTCTAAGGAATTAATCTCTGAATCCTTCTTGTCTCGCCTTTCCTCCGTATGTGCAGTCACGTAAACTGAATCCCTGTCTACTGAGTGCTGCAGGGCTTTGAAACCTCCCAGCACCCTGAGCCACCTTTCTGACCATCCTTTTTTCAGCACCGTTTTAAAGTGTTCCTGCAGTGAAACGAGTCTTTTCCTTTATGACAAGATGCTGTCTGTTGGTTTGACTCTTGCTCTCATGGCAGCTCTGGCATCGTGTCAGCTCACAGTAAGGATCGAGGATTTTGCTGCTCTCAGCCCAGCAGGATTTTTGAGAAATACTTTCTTCACACATCAGCTTTCACACTTTGTCTGCAGTCCTGGATTACAGGAGAAAAACTTGCTTTTCTTTCCTTGGATAAAGTAGGTCTTCTGCTTAAATTGTGGTTAACCTTAGTGCTGATGGAGCCCAAATGGCGAGCGAGGCTACTTTGGAAGAGTTCACTTGATAGCAGATAGTGGTGAAAATAGCATTTGGAAAATTATGTTTCATGAGGGTAATTGGGAGTCTGCTCGTGAGAATTCAGCTTGTGGCACAGTGGTGGAAGATTCAACCTCAGGGCTGGTGCATGAAGGCTGAGTCTTGAGGGTTACGCTTTGTAAAAGGGACCAACATCCTTCGTGCAAAATTTTGCTTTAGAAAGCACATCTCCCACAAGATACAGCTTCACTGGAAATGGGAGCACAGATGGCTGGCAAGCACTATTAAACAGCTTGCTGGCAGGAGCTGGCTTGGGAAGATTTTGCGTGAAGTCCTCTCAGCCCTCCCAGCAGAGTCAACTGGTGTGGACAAATCTCATAACACATCTCATTTTAATCAAGTGTCAGCACCCCTGACGGGAAAGCTTCGTGCCCCAGAGGGAAGATGTTGCTGGGAGTCGCAGAGCGAGGATTAAACTGTGAAGGAAGGATTCCTAGCTTGGATTGATCCAGCAAGTTATCTATATCAAAATATTGATGAAATGATGTGTCTTGGTACAAAGGTCCATGCCTGGGTAAGATAAGCTGCATCAATACGTGAGCACATGTGCTGCAGTTTTCTGAAGTGTGGGCAGATGCTGAGAAACTCCTTCCATCAGCTGCTGATGGGAATAGCAAAGAAATGTTAGATTGCTGTTACCTCCTTCCCCGAAGGTTTAATAATTTGCTTCCAACTCTGTGATTAAGGTAAACGCTGCTGATTCTCCTGATGGAGAGGAGTCTCTTGGAGTCTGCAAGAGCTTTGCTCTTGACTTCAATAATAACAGCATTCAGGTTAACACTGCAAGATCTCTGCCTTGTTTAGCCTATAAAAAAACCCATGTTTATAGCTCTTCACAGTCCATTAGGGAAACAGTTTGCTCACCTCAGTGAGCAAATCTGGAGGCAGAGCCTGTGGACAGTTGCATCTGGAAGATGGGGGATCCTTACCTCTTTGGGGAGCTGAGCCCGTCGTTGGCATGGTCACTGAGGTCCTTTGGGTGCACACGGGGTGCAGGCAATGTGTTCTCCTTGCTTTTTGCTGCCTGTGACTGCCCTGTTGTGTGACTGAGGGTCTCCTCAAAATCCAGCCTCCTCTCCTTCATTTCAGCTTACTCTGTAAATCCCAGGCCTTTAACAAGGATCCTCTTATCTACACAGTGGCTTCCTGGAGTCTTTAGGGATATTGATTAAAAAGATTTATGTTAATGAAGAATGAGTCCAGAATAAAGCATGCAGTGTGGTCTAATCTCTCTCTGAGGCAAACAGCAGAAAAAGGTATTTCACCGTTTAGAAAAAGAGACACACATTTAGCACAGAATTTACAGGATTGCCCTATTTCTGGTCTGCTCCCATCCCAAGCCCAGTTCCTCTTGGTTTAGCCTTCTTTGGCCTCGGTAGAGTTAAAGCAGGAGGGAATTCCAATTCGCCACATGAGCATGCACGTCACAGCAGGATTTCACCCCAAAGTACATTGAAAAGATGCAGATGAAATCGTTTATTAGTAATTAGCTTTTTTAGCAGCTAAATTCGGGTCTAAATTGCCCAGTTTCAGGGGTGACAGGGGAAACAGAGTTCATGCACACAATTTTGACTTTGCCTAGTGAAAACCAGGCCTGCAGGGCAGAGAAATCCCAGTAAAGGAGGAGCTGGGATCCAGAGCTGAAGCCTTTGGGTCTCCTGAGAAAGTCAGCATCACTTACCCTGTCTGCGGACACAGGTGTGTGTCTGCACTCCTTCTGTGCAAGGGTTAGGTGAGGGGTACTTGGGACTGCTATTTTGGATTTGACTGCGGAGCTAATTTTAGCAGCTCCCTGTAAGCATACGCATGTCAAGCCTCTGAGACTACCTGAGATGCCAACAGCAATGAGGTGGCCTGGCTTGGCCCCATGAGGAGCGTGACGTGCAGAGCAGGAGTGCAGGAGGAGGAGAGGAGCCCTAGGGAGGGATGGAGGGATGCAGTCCAGGCTGGGGGCAGCGGAGGGAGGCTTGCGAGATGGGAACAGCACGGGGGCCATCGGCGGGGCTGGTACAGGTACAGCATCCCCAGATGGACTGTCAGGAAACATTACAGGTCAGGGCTAGGGGCACATTAGCAGATGCATGTGCAGGAAGGAAGCTTTAGTCCGTGAAATCATTTTCTTGCTTGCATGCACAGCATTCACTCAGAAATATAAAGATAAAATAATCCCTTGGCTTTCTGCATGCTGTATTCTTGATGTTTCATTCATAGCTTTATAGGCTTCTTCAAATATTCATGTATCGTATCATAAGTGAAAGGGAGAAAAATAGTTCTTTTGCAGGCTTAAAAGGAAATGGGGAAAAAAATAAACTCAAATCCCAGAGCACTAGAATAACAGTTTTAAAAAACATGAGGAACCAATGATTTTTTTTTTAATAACCACAGTAGCTAGGGGCCCAGTAATATTTCATTATATTAAATTTGAACACTGAATCGACCCAGTGTACTAATGCTTGTAATTGCAAAAGGCAAATTAAATTCCCCCACATTGTCTGGAGAAACAGAAGACCATGGAATAGTAAGGAGGCCACAGGTTAGCATGGAGCTGCAGCAGGGTGGATCTACAAGGAGGCTCAAGATTGGTGCTACAAGGAGCAGTGACAGACCTGCTGGAGACTTCCAGGCAGAGCTGTGTGGAGGACAGGAGGTTGTGCGGGCAGAGAAGGTTGTGTGCTTCTTGTGGCTCTGTGGCACTGTACATGCTGCAGAACATATTTACGAGTGGTTCCCCCAAAGGTTTTTGACTCTCCAAAGGAATTGACCCTGAAACACGGGGGATGCTCAGCAAGCAGCCTCTTCATTGCCCCTTCCCCTTACACCGCACCTCTACCTGCCCACACGGACAAGGGAGATCTCCCCGAGTGGCCAGGGTATTTCCAGCCGGGGAGATGGATAGGTGGATGAAGATCTCGACTGGGCCGATGCCTCTTCACAGGCTGTTGGGAAAGCTGTGCCCATGGGTGCTGCCTGACAGTGCCCGAAGGTGCAAAGACGTGACTGGGAGCCAGGACTCAGGATTACTTTCCTTGGCTCTGCCACTGATGTGCTGTGCGACCTTTGACGAATCGCTTAGGAAATCACTTTCAAGCCAGCATGGATACAATTAGGTGCCTCTGTATAACAGTGCCTGCTTTTTAGAGGACTGAACCAGCAAGCCTGGGTAAATTAGCACTTTTGGACTCCAGCCCACTTCTGAGTTTGCAAAATGTTCCCTTTAGCCTCTCTTTGCTTGCTTCACCATCTGTCAAATGGCGCTGTTAATACTGACTCAGTCTTTGTAGAGAGTTTTAAGCTTCTGCGACTAAAAGTGCATGATAATAAGTGTTAGTAATTACAATACCGTCATTGCATGCAACCAAGTCTTTGGGGACCAGTTTGCTGTTTGAAGGACGAGTAGAAGTCAAAGCTAAGGCACAGAGCTGGTGCTCAGCCCCTCTCAAAGAGGGTTTGGTATTTTTTGCTAGATGGGCTCTCCTGTAGTTAGTTTTAAACTTGGATGCAGGCTGTGGCTTTCTAGGGGTAACACCTAAGAGGGATCCAGCTGGATGTTTCTTGGTGACAGCTCTGGGGAGTGGGGAAATCAAGGCAGGGGCGGGCGAGGAGGTCGCGGCTGAAGGCAGCAAGAGGGCTGGACTGTGCCTGTATGGAAAGTCAGGGGAAGGTCACCCCTTGCAAGGACCTTCGCCCCCTTCTCCTCCCTTCTTCCCACCTCAAAGCTCACAGGACCATGCGGTCACGTTTCCCGGGAGGCAGTTTCATCCTGCTGCAATGACATTGCACGTCTCATGCCCCTGCAGCATTGTCAGGCAGACCTGCAATTGGGAGCAAAGAGAGCCAGGAGGACTCAAAGCGGTGATGCTTTATGTGTGCCTGTGCTCCTCTCAGCAGCCTGACCCTCTGGGAGCGGTACCTGTGGGGTGCAGGATAGGCTCAGGTGAGCCAGGGCATCCCGGGGGATGATGCACAGCCATGTTACTCCCTGCCCTATTTCACACTGGAGGCCAGCACCCATTTTATCACCACCTCCCCCTGATGATGCTCTCCTCAGTGAGCTGCCCATCGCCCCGGCCACCCTCTCTTCTCAGCCACCCATGGGTTTACCAGGGCCTCCCCGGTTGCGCCAAGCCCTGCCGCAACCACATACTCCCGGCTGAAGTGGGGGCACCCCCCATGCCTTCAGGTCAGTTTGGGTCATGTCAGGCCCTGATGGCAAGCATAACCGTCCCCCCTTACTTTTCCTTTCCCCTCCTCGCTAGTCCCCACCTGCATCCCATTCCTCTGCCTTCGCCTGGGGGGGTGTGATTCTGGGGAGCCAGCACCCCGGTGCTCACCAGCACTCACCAGCATCCTCTCCATCTCACTGCCGTGGGGTCTGCTCCCCAGCCTGCGCCTGGCATGCAGCCCCGGCAAGCTCGCGCGCTGCCTTGCACCACGTCCATTGCTCACTGACAGCCGTCATCTGCAAAACAGCTTTTCCCCCTTGGATATTAACTTTTTCCCTCTTTTCTTCTCTCTCCCTGTCTTTCTTGTGTTCTTCTCTCCCCACAGCCCTGCTGCTCACCCAAGGTAAGTGCTTTTTCTCCTTTCCTCTGCCTGCTCTGGCTCTGTTTTGACCCCTTTGGTCAGCCCCTTGTGTTTGTGTTTGCTGTGTTGTAGACAACCTCAACTCATGGTGCTTGTGTCCAGAAGGAACTAGTTAAGAGCAATGCATTAAGAACAGGACAGTGATTGATTGACATGTAAGAGCATTTCCCATATTCCAGGTTTTTCCCTGCAGTTTTGGGAAATGTCCCAGCCAGGGCTGCAAAGCAGAACATGCAACTCTGGCTGGTCTGGGACAGTGACTCGACTCTCTTGTCGGGCAGCTCTGGGGCTTGGTTTGTCCTGATGCACCAGGGAGCACAGGACTTTTCTGCAGGGGGTTGGCACTCCTGGGGCATGGGGTGTTGTTGCCTGGGGTGGCTGAGGGTGCAGGGTTGCGCAGGTGTCCCCTTCCAGTGCAGGATCAGACTGCGCATCACCCCTCAGTGCGTGCACCCAGGTGCTCTCCACCGCCTGTCCTGGGGGGTCCCGGGGGTGCACCCAGCGCCAGGGCAGTGCTACCAGGGCACGATAAGCATCAGCACCGTTTCCCTCCTCACCCTCAGCTCGGGCTCTGCACTCTTCATCTCCTCTTCCCGTGACAGGATTTTACATGTATTAATACTGAGCCCCCCCCCTCCTTGCCCAAAATCCCCGTTAGGCTGGTCTCTCTTGATCCCACTGCGGAGTGATGTACGCCTCCTGTATTTTTCTTATTCCTTCAATTCCAGATATGATTACAGTTGAATTTGCACTAAAGAAACATTTGTCAGAAGATAAGGGTGGGCACGCAGGATGCAGAGAGGAGCTCAAGTCTGACAGGTTTGCAAGCAGAGCTGAAAACGAAAGCGTTCATCACGCCTAAGCTGTGCTGCAAATCAAAGGAGCAGCATCTGCCGTGCAAGCTTCAGTCTCTGCTCCTTTTTGGAGGATGCCAAATGTGCTGTGCAGGGGATGGCCTGAGCCCATCGGATACTGGGCTAATTAGGAAATTGCTAGTGGCAGGCAGAAGTCCCCAGCTCCCCAAATATCAGCTTAGGGTGTTCACAGAAAACTCCTTAGAGCGGTTTGGACGTTTTCCTTTGTTACTTCTTCAGGTTCAGGAGGACTGGAAACAAGTTGAGCACAGCCTCCTTCCCAGTAATTTCATTGCTTTAATTCAGTAGCTGCCTAATTTGATCAGAACCCCGGGAACCAAATAATTTGTATTAAAATAACATAACTTTCCTCCCTCTGTTGTGATCCAGCCTGATTGCTTTTGGCAGCCATTATTGGAGAACTTGGTCACCAGCTATGGAAATTTGCTTTACTGTTAATAATGAAAAGCCTCCTCTCTGTCTGGCCCTGGGGTGCCCCCCTTGCCCCGAGGGTGCCCTCTGTATTCGGCCCCCGCACAAGCTTCAAGCCAGCGGCCGGCCAGCCAGGGAGCAGAGCCCCGCTCGCCGCAGAGGCACGTGCTGAGTGTCACTCAGTGGCAATCACGGCTAATCAGCGGGGAGAGAAGTGACGTCCTCGTTTAGTCCGTGTCATGTTAGATTTAGATTACATGGACGTGCAGGAATCTTTGTAAAAAAACTGCATTATTGAACATTTCAGTGGAATCTGTCGGTCCCGCTCCTCGTCCCCTCCCTCCCAGAGCAGCTGACAGTGCTTTTCCCGGGCAGCGCCCCTTTCCCCAGGGCTGCCTCCCTGGGACCGCTGGCCACCCTGGCTCTCCTCCGCAGCCCTGGGGCGTTCGCTCTCTCACGCCACCCCTTTGGCAGCCCCCACGGGGCAGCGGCGGCACGGTCCCTGCTCACTGCGGTGGCCCCATCTCTTTGCGGAAGCCCTGGGGTGCCCCGATGGATGAGCCCAAATGAAAACGCCTCTCTTGTCCCAGCAGCCCTTTCCTGG